GGCGTGTGGCACCGCTTTCAGTTCCGTATGCATATCCAAAAGTGTGTCTTCACAATGCCTCTGCAAATGCCAGCGGTTTTGGCAAAACATCCGAGATAATCCGAGCACAAACCTGTGCCAGAGACTATACAGCACCCATGTGTGGCACTAACCCTTCACTCTTCATTAAGTTGTCTGTCTTGACCCCAGCACACGCCTTGCCACACTGAGCTACTTCTCCTTAGTCGCACAAGGAGTGGCGATGGCTTCCCGTCATCCCAAGCCAAAGGACACTGCACATAGGCCAAAATGTCTTGGATTTCAATCAAATGCCATTGGCCATGGCCAACCCATACCAGTCATTGCCAAAAACCCTTGAAAGTGATCACACTGCTTGCCCGGCGTCATTTGGAAGTGGCCCGCTCCCAGCTGAACGGACGCGTTGAACCACAAAGCTACGGAGCGAATGCTGGAAAAAGATTCTGCTCCTCAGGCAATCTACTGATCTAGATTCTTAACAGATTCAGAACTGAACGGCATGTTCTACTCGCACATGTGCAGCATTCTCCAACCTATGAGCTCATGAACTGCCCAGAGCCTTGAAGTACTGCCCTCGTGTTAGAAAAAGAGACGAAAGCCACAGGTTGAAGCCGGTCTGCATGATCATCTGACCTCCAGCAGCGTTACATCAAAGCCTAAAGGTGTGATCCAGCAAGGCTCTTGAAGGTGAGACTTGCCTATGGTCATCACAAAGTGCTGCAGGTACGGAGCAAAGAGCTGAGTAACCTGAGTCATGTCTCTCCAAGGCGCATGGTTCAATCCTTGTCCTTGCCGAGGTCTCCACCAGAAAGATGCCCTCAGATGCAAAAAGGGATGGGCGTGTCATGACGCAAGACTAGTGGATGTTGGTACTTGGTGCCGCTGAGGTTGAGGCAGGAAATGCAAGAAAATACAGCCTTAAATTCTAACTACTCGAGCACACAAATGATTCAAGCAAATCCTAAAGTACAGTACAATGCGAAGTCTCACGTCAAGAAACGACCCTGCAATTCTGAACTGCTGCAAAAAGTTTGCAATCTTCATGCCACCCTTGCAGGATGGAGAAAGTCTGCTCTGGAAATCCAGCAATCTCAATTCTCAATCAACCGGCTCAAAATGCACAAGGCGCCGCCTCTCTAGCAGATGATTGGACAGCCCAGAGGAACCAGCCATAGAGACCCAACCTTTGATCACGGTTGCTCAAGCAAATCAAGAGGGCAACCGGTGTCGGGCCTCATCACCAGCAGGATCCAGCCAATCACCCCTTCATTTTCGTGATACTTGTAGGATGCATCGTCCTGAGCTCAGCAACTCCCCCTCCAAGAGCAGAAACAATACTTTACAATATCACATCACACGCCTTGATCTTGCCAAAGCCAACCAGCATGATGTGTATGACCCCAATCCTTGGAAAAGCAAACTGCACGATTTTGCAGTTTGTCGGCTTTCTCATTTGAGGTGGCATGTGGGCTGCTTGACTTCTGCCAGGCATCATGAAGCACATTGGGATCCTTAGAGCAGTGCTACAGCCAAAGCCATTTTGTGGCCAAAGGGGCGTCTTGCCCCGGTGAAATTGACTGCATGCAATCAAGGCTCATTAAATCTAGTTCTCCAATCTTGGACTGGAGAAGAGTGTAACCAAGCGCTATCAAGATCAGCAGGGATGTCTGAATCACCTGCCGACCCCACTCCCCCGTTGAACCGCAGAAACAGTGATCCACCGAGCCTGCGCTAGCATGAAAAGGATCTCGGAGAGGACTTCACAGGCCTTGAGCCCATCACCATCGTACTTGTAGGCGAACAGGTGAATTGTATGCATGGTCTGTCGCAGACGACGGACGGCGGATCGCGCTGAAGCTAGATTGCTTATGTTGCCCCACCCAAGCGGGCACATGCCTGTGCAACAAGCTGCGTGATCATTCCTTGGAACAGCGGCCAGGGGGCGTCGCTGTCCAAATGACCGGCTAACTTCAGACTAGCTTCCACACGCTAGAGTCCAAATGACCGGATGGACATAGCCTGCGCTTTTTGCAAAGGCCAAGGTCCTGAAGGCGTGGACGGCCAATATGTACTGTCACACCTTTTCTACACACTTGCCACGGGAAAACCTGTGCAATCTGACTGCTTCAAATCTCAGTGTTGGCGCAATAGCACTGAATGTCCTCTTGATGAACCAATGCATCATCACTACGAAGGATGCCAAGAAAAGAACCTGAGGTGATAATGGCCCCTCGCCAACATGAAACTCCGTCTGCAATTGTTCACTGAAGATTGTCAGGGCAAATATGTAGTCTCAAGAAGCATTGGCAAGAAGCATGCCCTTCCTTGGCCGAGCCCAAACAATGTTGACATACGAGTTGGACAAAAATCCAAGATGGAAACATGTTAACAGGAATTGCAGTCCACACCATGCTGATTTCAAAACAGAGTCACAGGGTTTGCACTGAAGGCAGCCGAAGCGTCATCTCAATGCTAAATTCGGATCCATCCGCCTGCTTTGCATGGAATTCGAACTTCAGCCGATGCCTCACAGAAGCTTACCACTCAGCGCGGCGATCGCTCCACGCATCAAGCTTTCTCATTTCTCACGTCCGAAACACATTGTTGGTGGCAGGTGCCACAGTCATGCCACTGAGCGACGTGAAGTTTGCAAGGGTATGCCGGCAATCGGAGAGCACGAAATACCTCAAAACAAAAAGAATCTGGGTCATCTCAAAGCCTGGTGTTTCATGAGGAGCAACTCTAATGTAGGAATTGCCTTGCAAATGCAAGGCAATAGCATACAATTATATAAATGAGCACATATTGGAATGTCGGTTGTGAGCATTCCCCGCCGATGCTGGCACTTCTGTTGCACAACCAGGCCACCATATGTGAGGCCGGACGCTCTGGCTCAAGGTACCTTTGGCAATCTAGCTGCCCGCAGCCACAGATGGCATGATGCTAATAGATTGGATGACTTGCAACCTAGAGGCCACTGGACCAGTCTGTCCAGTTGGAGCCCGGGCCAATTGAGATGTTACGAACCTGCATGATGCGAATGAAACGTGGGGAAGGTCCTTGCCCCAAGTGGTGAAATAGGGAGGGTGACGAGACTCTCTAGAGAGATTGCACATCGACAAAACACAAAGATGCAGCAAGTTTTCGCCCTCACCTGTTTTGCGTGCTTTCGACGATCACAAAGGACAGGCTCCAGCTCAGCTTCAGCCCAATGCTCGTCCTTGCGAGTCAGCGCTCCAGAGGGTTTCAAAAGACTTACCTTCAAAAATGATGTGGAAAGGCTATCCATCTACAATCTAAACAATGTTGCAAATTTTCTTGTTCAACACCAAGTTGCCAAATAGACTTCTAGCTGGATCACCGCAGCTTCGGGGATGCTCTTTGGCGCAGCCAGTTGGAAGCGAAAGTCGAAAGAACCAGTACCTGAACAAATTGTCCCCTCCTGCCTGGTAGCACAACATCTTTGGAATCTGCACGGTTTCTAGAAACTCTGGCGAAATCCAAGCCACCGATGTCATATCCAAATTTGCTCAAATACCTGTCACGGCCAAGCCAATTCCTTATAAAACTAGACGACGAGTGGCCCGAAAGCATTTTTCATCACGTAGGAAGTCAGAGTGTGAGTTAAGTGTTCAGTGTGAAGTGTTAAGTCGAGTGAGTTGAGGCAGTGTGTGGGTCTCTGTGTGTGTGTATCAATGTCTGTGTGTGTATGAGTCTCTGTCTGTGACTCCGAGTAAGTTGAGGCAGTGCGTGGGTCTCTGTGTGTGTGTCAACCTTTTAAGAGAGCCGGGTGGTCGGGAGACATGACTCAGCTGCAGGGGCGCCAGAGCAGCTGCGAGAGATGACTCAGCCGCGAGAGATGACTCATCCGCGTACTAAAGTTGCACTGCAAAGTCACCAGTTCTCAGCTTCCAGCTCCCCAGATACTCCGCGTACTGAAGTTGTACTACAAAGTCGCCAGTTCTCATCTTCCAGTTCCCCAGATACTCCGCGTACTAAACTTGTACGACAAAGTCGCCAGTTCTCATTTTCCAGCTCTCCAGATACTCCGCGTACTAAAGTTGTACTACAAAGTCGCCAGTTCTCAGGTTCCAGCTCCACAGACTGCTCCACGTACTACAGTTGTACTACAAAGTCACCAGTTCTCATCTTCCAGCTCCCCATATGCTCCGCGTACTAAAGTTGTACTACAACTTTGCCAGTTCTCATCTTCCAGCTCCCCAGATACTCCGCGTACTAAAGTTGTACTACAAAGTCGCCAGTTCTCATCTTCCAGCTCCTCAGATACTCCGCGTACTAAAGTTGTACTACAACTTCGCCAGTTCTCATCTTCCAGCTCCCCAGATACTCCGCGTACTAAAGTTGTACTACAAAGTCCCCAGTTCCCAGCTTCCAGCTCCACAGATTGCTCCGTGTACTAAAGTTGTACTAGAAAGTTGCCAGTTCTCATCTTCCAGCTCCCCAGAGACTCCGCGTGCTCAAGTTGTACTACAAAGTCGCCAGTTCCCAGCTTCCAGCTCCACAGATTACTCCGCGTACTAAAGTTGTACTACAAAGTCGCCAGTTCTCATCTT